ATGCTCAGCCTCAATGCCCCATTTCAGTGGGGAAATGCAAGTGGAAACCACAGGACAAGAGGTTCACACACCATGTTTTGGTGAAGGTATAGAAAACTGGAACTCTCAACGCTGCTTGTGGGAACATGAAGCAGTAACTTGGAAGACAACGTAGCTGTTTATCAAATAGCTAAGCCAATTTAATAAACTGTCACACTGTTTACACAGCTACCATATGATCCAGCCATTGCACAGTATATATCCATACAAAGACTTTTATACGAACGTTCATGGTAACTTTGTAATGGCCCAAAGCTGAAAACAACCCCCAATATCCAACAACAGGTGAGTGGCTAAGCCAAATTACAGCATACCCACACAATGGAATGTTGCTCAGCAGTAAAACAGAATGAACTAATGATATACACAACATGCACGAATCACACGATAATTATGCTACGTGAACAAAGCCAGACACAAAGAAAGTATACACCATACCCTCAATATAAGCAGAAACCACTTTTGTTCCAGGATAAGGGGGCTGATAGAGAGGGACAGGAGGAGGGATTTCCGAGGGGCAGAAGAAAACATGAATGCGTTCATTCGTATTAATGGTGGTGATAGTTGCACAGATGTATGCATATGTACAAACTTTGCAAATTACACACTTTAAATATGCACAGTTTATTGTAGGTCAATTATATCTTAAGAAAACCTGTTTAAAAAATAATAAGATGAGTTGGCCTATTTGAGGCTGCCCTTTGGCCAATCTGAATTTTGGCCTCATTGCAAAAATTTCTTGAACAGCATTTAGGAACAGACTGACACTGTTAAGCTTAATGCCCTGTGAAATAGTCTAAACTAATTGTTTCAAAGGCCTGTGGCAGCAGTTTTCTGAGATTATATCAGATGATATGCTTTTTTTCTTTATGTAAACATAAGCTGACGTTGTCACTGGACGCCAAACAATGCTCCTACTGCAGTGATCTCAGCCATTCCAGAATGACAGCTAGATGTGTTATTTCACCAAAGAGGACTGAGAAACAACGCCCTGAGCTCCCTGGGTTGGTATTTCACCTATTCCTTTACAGTGTGGCTTCTGCAGGAAAGTGTTCAACAGAGAAGGCAGATTTGAATCATTTGTGGATTGGCTGGTGTGTGTGCACTTGTGAGCGAGAAAGATGGACATAGAAAATGAATGAGTTGGAGGGACATACAAAGAGACCCCAAGTCAAGGGGCAATTAATAAACGTATTTCGCTTCTGGAACTTTCTGCCTTTAATCCAGTCATTTCTTCATTACAGGAAAAAAATATGTGGGTGCTATTGCCTGACTTTTAAATAGCTCCCTCTCCTACATTTTGTAGTCCTACCTCAGGAATCCATGGAGTCTACCAGTCAATTTCTTAGCTTTTGTTGAGAGAACAAGCACACCCCAAAATGTGCACTCTTTTGCATTTGAACAAAAATTCCTCCAATCACAGTGCAAATGATTCCTTTTATATGCTTCTTAACATAAATTATCAGCAACCTATATTACTCCCTTTCTCATACTCAAAAATTCCATCTCACACTGGGTCTCCCTATACTATATCAGTGCTGCGTACATTCAGTCCATTCCAGTGATAACCTGGATTTGACTAAAGCAAGAAGGTGGTCCAGCATTATGATTTACCTACTATTTTTAAAGGATGTTTTTATATATACTCATGTCTTTTTAAAATATTCCTTCACTTCTTTGAATAGAGAAACAGAATCCCTTGATAAAGGTAGAAGATAATTCTAAAAAAAAAAAAAAAAGAAAAGAAAAGAAAGAAAGAAATACAATGAACACTACAACCATAGGTAAATGCCTGCAGAATTTTCTGTAGAAGTCCTAGGTCTAGGCGCAGTTCTCTCTGGAGGCTGGTGTGTCTAACTAAGACATGTCTAGCACTTGCTGATTATCCCTTTTGACAACTGGTATTTCCTTCTTGGCTGGTGAGTTGGGCTAAATGAAAGTTAAGAGGAAATAACTGGTTACATGTTATCATGTGCACCTCCTGTAATGATCTCATGTCATGAGAGTTCCTGCCCTCCAGGATCTCACAGAGTCTGTCACCTGAGACATGAGGCCAAGATGGGTTCAGGGTTCACATAAAAGTCTGACCTACTCTGAAGCCTTGAGAGGAAGCATCAAGGCAGGGTGCTCATTTGCAAACTAGAAACAGGTGCTCACTCTGGGCAGATGAGCCTTGTCATGAACACGGCATAGAGAGAGAACAGTGCTTGTATGATTATTTGACAAAGACCTTCCTTTCTCCAGGCCAACAGAGCCTTCTGCCAGGCAGCACATGAGTTGGATTTTGGCCCCACTTAACCCATTGGCTCAGTGCCCTTGTGCACAAATACCCGTAGTGGTTTGCCAAGCATGACCTAAGCTTTAGCAATTCCACTAAATTCATAATTCAGTGACAATTTTTAGGGCTACTTGTGGTGTCCCTTCCCCACCAATCCTAATTCCTTTTCATTTCCAGCTTTTGGGCTGTGTAGTCTCTCAACAGTACTTCTATGGAGATCCACAGGGGAATGAGTATACTGAAGAAAAGAGAGACTTTAGCAGATCCCTTGAGAATTCCAGATGTGCTCTGGCTTTGGTTCATCTCTTCCTGCCCTTGAAAAGCTGCATGAAAGGCTGGCTCTGATAGAGAGTCCACTGTGCAAAGATGGCTAGGTTACTGACAGTTGCACTGACTGAATAATTAGCCAAATTTGAGATGTACATCTTTTGCCAATGGCAAGCTAATGAAAGTGAAGTCAAGGTAAGTTATTGAAAACAGCAGCATAACAACAGGGTCTATTGTTTAAGTAAATGACTTCTGACTGTCTGAAGATACACAGCTCTGCCCTGCAAAATCAGAACACCCACCAGGGTTTGTTCAAACAACAACAGTGTGGATTTAAAATGCCACAGAAAGCTGGGCAGCAGGAGGGCTCAGGAGCAGTATTAGCACAGAGAGGAAGCAGATTTTTATTTGTTTTGCTTCTTTCATTCTGAATGCTGGGTAACTCCCAACCCAGCCTGCATGATCATTTGTAAGAGGATTCTAAGACTTTTAGTAAGTTCAAAGAAGAATTCATTTAACCTTCTACAATAACTCACATAATGCTATCATCTGAAAACATAGTAATAAGACAGACTTGGTTCACAAACACCAGTGGGAGTTGAGGCAGGGGATGAAGAGGAACTAAATTTGTCCAAGAATAGGATACATTGACCCTATATTCTTGGATGGGAAATCTCCTAAAAGGTCCTCTAGCCCAGTTGTAGCACCCACTGCCCATGGGTGACATGGCAGGGAGACACAGGAGAAAAAGCAAGGGTTCCCCCTGCCCAATCCCTACCTACTAAAGGTCAATGTCCTCAGTAGCAGACCAGCCCTCTGCCTGCAACTCTGGCTATTCTTCTATTAAGGCCAAAGGATACCAACCTGAGACCTACATTTAGAAGACCCATAGAGCTGCTTTGGAACAGTAATTTCAAACGAAGAGAGAAAAAAAAGTCATCAAAGCCAAAAGCAAATTGGCCTCAGCCCATGAGTCAATGTCAACTGATTAGCAGTGTCTGGTTTGACCCCTGAGTTGAGAAGGATGCTGGACCCAGACCCAGGCCCAAAGGAAATGAGGACAACTTTAAAATACAAAATTCAGCCCAGTTTAGACTGTGACGTACTCCACCGCAGCATATCCCTCCCCGCAGCTTCCAACAGACGTTAATAATCAATCTTTTCCTAACAAGAAGTTGATTTAAAAAAAAATGTTCTCTTTAGAACAAAAATGTGAAACTGAACATAAAGAAGACAAATTGCTCACACAGCTCTAAGACAGGGGTATGACCACTCCTGAACACATTTCTACGTAAGGCCTGCATGAATCTAGGGAAATAACTTCTGGGAAAGCCTCTGGCCCCTGTTTATTAAATGTCACTCTGCTGTACCAAAAATAAGCTTACAAGCAACCTCACACTAATACAGGACAATCAGGTGTGGTCTCATCTTAAGTACTAGTTCCTCTTTTAATTTGGGGGAAAATAGGTTTTAAAAGTCTCTGGGTTTAAGTCTGTATTCATGAATATCAGCCCACCATAAAAGAAACCACTTGATCCTACACCATGCATTTCCCTTGATGCTACTCACAGAGCTCTGAGGAGACCTGAGATGGACCTGATGACACCCTGATCATTAGGAATCACTTTAACACCCAACAAATATAGCATTTGACACTCTTAGGAGTTCTCCTGGGTTGCAAGTTAGAGGGATCTTAGAATACCAATTGCCTCCTGCAGGCCTGCTGTGATCCTACCTTAGGCAGTTCAGAGACCCACACTGTTCTGCAAGAAAAGATGGAAGAGAAGTGCTTCTGTTTCTTCTGAAGGGACTAATTTGCTGTCCCCAGTCCAAAGGGTCACAACAGCAAAGCTTTTTTTTTTTTTCCTTTGTGGATTTCCCTAAGTATAGGCAGAGGTTCTTGAAAAGTCTTAGCTCATAACCAGTTGCATGTGGAGGGTGTTAATGGTCAATGGACATCAGGAAACATTTACTTAAGCAATTGTTTTGGCAGCCAGTCAAGAATGCAGGAGGCCTTCTGAGCTACTGATCATTGCTGTGACAGTTCAATATGTGGGAAAGGCATTCCAGCCTTGTGAAAGTGCAGGACATGCCCTACATCACAGTCCTGTCATCTCACATTTGTCCTAAACTTCCTCAGTAAAGCAGTATGATTAAAAAAAAGAAAAAAATATATAGCCATACATAAAATATAAAACAACTTTCCAATGTCAGTGGATGAGCTTAACTTTCAGAAGCAATGTGAGAAATCAAACCCCATTTTTGGTCATGTCCTAAACAACTCACACAGGGAAAACAGATTTCAAAAACACAGCTCAATGTCAGTCTAATAATATAAAAGTTAGAGCGACTTCAGAAAATTAAAGTTTGAGGGGTTTCATAATGGAATTCAGGATGTACAAACATCGGTACTTACAAGGCTGTGCTAAAGTCATTCAGAGAGAGCATGGAGCTAGGATTTGCAGCTTCTTGGATTTTCCACCTCAAAAAGCAAACAAAAGACAAAGTTATAACAAGTAAGAATTTCCGATGTCTATTCGCAAAATCTTTAAAAAATACCACCTCAAAATAATCAGAAATGTAATATTCAACTCCTGATTAAATACATTTTGTTTCTATGCACTAAAAATCACTTGGAGACATGATGGAATGACCAAATAGCTCAAAAACCCTGCTGATGCTTAAATTCAAGCACACTTGCACTTCCAACTGATGAATCAACAGACATTGACTTTTCCCAATGTTGGTAAAGCAATTTAATTTACATAAGAGGCTGTTTATACTGCCTACTCTGTAATTTTGTATGTGTCTCTGATGATACCTGATCCAAGAATGCTACCTTCTTTCATTATTGTTATTTACTGTTACATCTACTTTACCTTCTGGAAGAAGTTACAAGGATCCTAAGACAGATGAACTTGTCACTGCTCTGGGAATGACAAGCTTAATTACTGTCCAGCTGAGATCTTTACGGCCAGGCAGTCCCCAATGGAAGTGACTCTTTGGGTTGCCAGTTCAGAGAATAAAAACATGGGATGCTCAGGAAAAAAAATCTGGAATTTCATATAAACAGCAGATACTTCTTTGTAAGTTTAATTGGATGTTCTTTCTTTCACCTGACAACCCAGGGTATTTCTGTATATGATGTGCACAAATGGATGTCCCTTTCTAACATCCTGCTGAAAATATTGCAGCGGGGGCAGACACAAAGTCCAAGAAGAGTGTCTACATCTGCACCTATTCCTTGAAGGTCTCATACTTGAAGGATTTTTGAAGCGGCCTTGCCCTGCACTTGCAGTTGGAGAGGTTTCCTTGGGGTGGGGTGGGGGGGGTGTTGAGGTAGAGCAGAAGATAGCAGTGCATAGCGTCCACAAGACTTTCATGATTGACCTTTCCAGTAATGCACAGTTCCCATAACACTATCATCATCATCATCATCATCATCATCATCATCATCATCATTATCATCATTCATATGTTGCTACTTTTGAGCAACTGTTTACTTGCAAGAAACTGAAACTGGCAAGCATGATTGGTTGAATCCCAATTAAAGATGGAGATTAGCTCCATGTTTTGAGATCTGGCTCAAAAATACTCCTATGAAAACAACTGGAGTTTTAAAGCTTCTATTGACACTTTTTTAAAAAAATTTAAGGTTTTCCCCTTGGACTAGGAGAAAACATCTGATCTTTCATCTCTTTCACCTCCAGCACTAAAACATTCAGTTTGTTTCCTTCTCTCCATGGGACTTTTACCTGCCTCCACCAAAGAACCTCTCAGTCAACAACTTGCTATCCTTTTCCACCTGTAGAAAGTCCAAGGAAAAAAGAAAAGAAAAAGAAAAAATAAATAAAAACTAAGAGGGAAAAAAAAATCAACCACCCAGGGATACAGAGAGGTTTAATTATTGCCTGGAAAGCAACACCCTTTCACAACATCTTTAGGACTGATTTTCATAATTACATACTGATTGAAACTGGGACTTGCAAAAGGGTAAACTCATTTCCATATTAATATTAACTAATGATTAACATGACTCAGGACCCAAGTTCGGGATCTGAAAGCATGGACTAGGTGGAAATTAACGAAATTAAACCTATCAGTGTAATTTGCTACCTGTTCTCTCAAATGATTTTTCATTCATTAACTAGCAAATGAACTTACATTGGCTTTAGGGTAACTCACAAAAACAGGAATTCAGGCGGCTACCAGGGGAGCCATGACAAACAAGACCTCTTCAGACTCACGGACTCCTTCCTCCCCTTTCTCCTCTCTCTGAGGCTCTCCTGCTTCTTTTACTGCTTTTATTTTTATTTTTATTTTTTTGGCCCATTCTCTCTCCCTCTCCCTCCCTCCCTCCCTCCCTCCCTCATTCCCTCACTCTCTTCCTGTCTCTGTCTCTGCATCTGCAAGTATGTCTCTGTATCTGTGTCTTTGTGTGTCTCAGTCCTGTCTTGCTCCCTCTCTCACCTTTCTCTTCCCTTCCAACCAGCTCACCTCTCACCTTCTAGTCACACCTGCCTGCCTGCCTTCACCTGATTTAGAGCTGGGTCCTCTGCTCCCTCATATGACCTCATCCATTGCTGTGCCTCTCTCCCACCCCACAGAATCCAATGGCTTCAGCACCAAACACAGAGCAATTATTAACCAAACTAGCTAAGAGTCAATAATTTTTTTTTGGTTCAGCCCAAGTGCATACAAATATTAAGCATGGCTGTGCTTAACCAAACTCCCATTTAGAAGGCGGAAAAAAAAACAGCTAAAATTGTGCAATAATTTTCATTGGGAATCAAATGGCTTCAGTTATACTCATCTATAGGAAAGTGTCACATGGTACTACATCCTACCCTTTTAAAAAGAAAACTGCCCTTTCAACTTTCACCTTTATCTTAATAAGTCAGCTATGATTTTCAAGCCATACCCCTTTTTTAAAAATTTTAAATTTATTTTTTGTGCAATATACATAGTAGTGGGGTTCATCCAAGCATATTCATAAATGGCTATATCATGGGGTCTTCTCCATTTTAATTTCCAGTACTACTTTCTTCCCTTCACTCCTCCCTCCCCCTGGTCCCCTCTTCTACTCTAATGGTCTTCCTTCTATTATTTATTTTTTAATTGATGCATTATATTTATATATATAATTAGAATGCATTTTCATATATTCAATAAAAATAATAACTTTTTCAATAAATGGACTTCATTCCCTAGTCCTTCCCCTTTCCCTTCTTTCCTTCTTCCCCTTTCTTCCTCACTTCTACTCTGCAGATCTATTTTTATGAATTCCCTTTTTTAAATTTTTTAGTTGTTGTTGGCCTTTATTTTATTTAATTTATTTTACATGTGGTGCTGAGAATCAAACCCAGTGCCTCACACATGCTAGGCAAGTGCTGTACCACTGAGCCATAACCCCAGCCCTGAAATCCTTTTATTTCTTTTTTAATTCTTTTTTTCTCTTTAGCTTCCACATATGAAAGAAAACATTTGACCATTGGCTCTCTGAGTCTAGCTTATTTTACTTATCATCCAAGCTGTATTCCTCTAAAATAAAAATTCTTAGAAGATTTTAAAAATCACATAAGCTATCAACTCAAAGTGGCTCCAAGTGGTCTCTAGGGCATTAGACTAGAGACCCTGCACCTACTAGAAGAAAACGTACTCCCAATCTCCATTATGTCAGTTAGGAATGGAATTCCTCAACAAGACTCTGAAAGCTCAAGAAGTAAAATCAACAATCAATAAATGGGATGGTATCAAACTAAAAAGCTTCCTCACAGCAAAGGAAACAACCAAGAACATGAACAGAGAGCCTACAGAATGGGAGAAAAATCTTTACCACCTGCACCTCAGATAGAACACTAATCTCCAGGATATACAAAGAACTTAAGAAAAACTTAACACCAAAATAATAATAATAATAATAATAACCCAATCATTTCACAGAAGAATAAATATGAATGACTGACAAAAATATCAAAAAAAAAAAAACGTCAACATCTCTAGCAATTAGAGAAATGCAAATTAAAATGACACTGATATTCCATCTTACTCCAGTTGGAATGGCGATTATCAAGAATACAAGTAACGAGGGGCTGGGGATATATCTCTGCTGGTAGAATGCTTGCCTTGCATACACAAGGCCCTAGGTTTAATCCCTAGCACCATTAAATAAATAAATATAAATATTTATAGAGAGAGTAACAATAAATGTTGGCGAGGATGTGAGGAAAAGATTCACTCATAGATTGCTGGTGGGACTGTAAATTGGTGCAACCACTCTGGAAAGCAGTATGGAGATTTCTCAGAAAACTTAGAGTGGAACCACCATTTGACCCAGTTATCCTACTCCTACTATTTACCCAAAGGACTTAAAACCATCATACTACAATGATACATCTACATCAATGTTTATGCAGCTCAATTCACAATAGCCAAACTGTGAAACAAACCTAAGTGCCCTTCAACAGAATGGATAAAGAAAATATGGTATATATACACAATGGAATATTACTCAGCCATAAAGAAGAATGAAATTATGGCATTTGCCAGTAAATGGATGAAACTGGAGACTATCATGCTACGTGAAATAAGCCAATCCCACAGAACCAAAGGCTGAATGTTCTCTCTGATATGTGGATACTGACACACAATAAGGAGAAGGAGAACAAAAGTTCATTGGATTAGACAAAGGGGAATGAAAGGAAGGGAGAGGATGGGAATAAGAAAGACAGTAGAATAAATCAACATAACTTTCCAATGTTCATATATGAACACACAACCAGTGAAACTCCACATCATACACAACCACTAGAATGGGATCTTAATTAGAATAAGTTATACTCCACGTTATCTATGTCAAAATAAACTCTATTTTCATGTATATACAAAAAGAACAAATAAAAATAAAAGAATTCTTACGAAATTTTTAAACATCACATAAGCTAGAATAATTATATAAAAATAATTTATTATTTTGATGACTATTTTTGGAGCTGCTATTTGACTCCTGCCTTGTTCTTCTTAAAAACCCTATGTTAAGTGACAGAGCAGTGCCAAGCAGGCAAAGCAACCAAAACATGGTGATGGCTTTCAGCTCTCTCATTACAACCAAGTAGCAAGTTAGGTCTACCTATTGACAAGATAGGAGATGAAATTAAGGAATGCAAAGGGCACCCCTCACCATATTTTTCTACAGATGTCTAGTTTAAAATATTTTTAAAGTCCAGTCTATTTTTGTTTGCTTCACAAAGAAGATTGCATCTGAGAGCTGATGAATGTTCCCAAGATCACCAGTCTTATGGGTAATGTGTCACCCTACAGTTCTAACACAACCTTACCCAGAACCTAATCCCTAAGAGGTTAGCAGGGGAGCTAAGTCTCCTTAGTAATCAGGAGGAGTACAGCCTCCTTACCAACTATTCATTTCCCCCAGACTGAGGTTCAGGGTATTTTTCAGACAATCCTTTTGATATTTGGTTTGGC